AAAATGGCCAGTTTTAAAATTGACAACCCAGCATTTAACTGTTGCATATGAAGGGCCACTGTCACCCATAGTTTGTGACATTTCATCATGGATCTGCTTTGCACCTTTCCCTTGGAGAAACAGAAACTTGATTATGGTCCTATGTTCTTCCACACTGAACTTTTCTGGAGGTGCTGCCATGTTCACTTTGGACCTGAACTATCATAGGTAGTTGATTTTTGTATAATTGAATACAGACAAATTGGCCAATACACCCTGCAATCTATAGCTTCCGAGCTCATTTTTTTCTGGGAAAGGCTCAATAGTTATCAGTACCTCCTCATACATTAGGTAAGCAGAGCTGGCCCTGCAACTAACAGATTGAAGCATCTGCTTTACCTAGTGGGTGCTGAGGATGGTAGTAGCCACCAGGCCCTGAATCAGGACCAAGATGGTTGTAGAGCTTGGAAAAGCCAGCCTGGGAGATTCTGGGAGATGTAATCTGGAAAAAAATCCAAGCCCCTGCTGAACAATAGGTCTGCAAACGTGTCAGGACTCTACCATTAGTAAAGTACTCAATCCAGGTGAACATGATGGCAGCCCAGGTGGCCATGCACTGCAAGAAGCATTTGTATGTCTTTGTATTGCATAGTTCACATGCTACACATGGATGTGAATCTATTGCTGTTGCATTGCAGCATTGGTTGAATGGAGACCATGCAGCAGGTAGAAACCCATCAAGCACCAGAAAGATGGGGCAGGGGCAGACTCTGTGGTCAGGTGTCCTGACTTGCACCATCCAAGCTAACTTTCCCGATTCCTTCAACTTTGGAAGGACAAGTGTTCAGTTGCCTGTGTTGAAAATGCAAATCCCAGCCTTGTCTGCGTGTATACATGGGCGATGTGTGCATAGTGGGGATGGGGATCTTGTCCGCCTCAGGCAGCAATGATACTGGGTTCGGCACGAATTAGTAGTAGGTTTACTACTAGAAACAGAAGCCTGATGGAAGCCAAGTGTAGGAGATATGAAGCTGGATATTCACAAGGCTCTGGAAGTTTCAGCCACCCACTGAAAAAATGCGTGACCTGACCCTCATTATGCCGAGGAGCTCTGCAACGTGTGGTTTCTTACAGATGTAACATGCAGATCAAACCGGCGGCGTATCTGTTGACACATTCTCTTTTAATGAAAGCCAGATAGATGCTTCAGAAATGCCAACAAGCAAAGCACGAGCACAGCTGGTGTGCACACTCGTGTTCCCCAGCAACTAGTAATCAGAAGATCACTGCTTCTGAGATGAGAGGTACCGTCATGGATGGTAGCCTCCCCCATCGAAAGGCACGATGGCCCAACTTATGATATGATAAAGGCTCTTCTGCTTATGCTTTCGGTCCCTCTCGTTTTGTGCTTAACCTCACACCTTCATAGCTAGAAGATACGGGCCAACTGCATAATGGAAGCCACTAAATATAAAACTAAACCCTCATCCCCTTGCTGCGCTCTTGCGGGTGACCAGCGTTCGCGTGATGGCGAGCGGATTTCGTCGACCCACAAGCTTTGGTCTGCGGCCCTGCCGTAGAGTTGCACCTTCCTTCCGATCCCTAACCGATGGGCGGGAGGGGGAGGTAACGTGGTGGGGAGTTGTCCTTTTGCGCATGCGTGGCGTGTGGGGGGGGGATCCAGTGCTGCGGCAGTTCGGTTGTGCGGTTTTCTTTGGGGCGAAGGCGAGGGGAGAGCAGCGCGCGCGGGAGAGGTGAGTGGGAAGGAGGCCGAGGAAGGGCTCTCTCGCGCCCCCCTCGGGGAAACGGGCGGCCGGGAGGGGGAGGGGGAGGGGAGGGAGAGGACAGGAGAAGAACGGGCGCGGAGCCTTGAAAGTGGCGCTGGCATGACTGAGGCGGGAAGTCACGACTCTCCCCACCAGCGCCACCACCACCACCCACACTCCGAGGGGCGGCGGAGAGGAGAAAGAGGGAGAGAAATAAGACCGTCCTTCGTATTAGTTGTATTATTCGCTTGCCGTGAGGAGAGGCTGATGGGCAGCCCTTCCTTTTCCTCACTGGGAGAAGGAGGATGGCTCCTTTCTGACACTCTCCTCCTCCTCAGCTTTCGTCACTGGCGTTTCTTGTAGCGCGGGAGAATTTGTGACAGAAGGGGGAGAAGAATTGCCTCTCGGAGGGCAGGCAGGCAAGCAAGCAAGCAAGCAAGGTAGCAAGGTGTCCCTGCCTCGAGTAGAGAGACTGAGAGGGAGGGGGACTGACTTAACTTTCGTTCTTCCTTTCATTTCCTCCGCCTCCGGCACCTCCTTCTCTTCGGGAGGAAGTGGGCTGTATGGATTCGAGTAGAAAGAAACCTCAAGTCTCTGCCCCCCTCTCCCCCCCCGCTAATCCATAAGGCTGTGCTGGCGATGGGGTTTTTTCGTAGCTCTCCTTGGGCGGAATGAGTCCTCCATTGTCTTACTCTTGTTGAATGATGCCAATAACTATTGTCTAGTGTCATTTTAAAATTGCAGGGAATGAGACCGGTTGATTCTTTTTTCCACTGTACAGTATTTTGCTACTATGTCCTTGTGTAGAGGAAGAATATTTAAAGCAACGTTTGCTCTCACTGATTGGTAGGGTGAATTCTGAACTTCTCTTTCAGTGAGACAGATACTAATGTGGAAGTGAGTCCTTTTGATGTAAGAAAAGAATGGACAGTGATAGATGGTGGAAATTCACTTTTCCGATATATTCTTGAGGGCTGCAATTTGGAAGGGATTGTTCTTCCGCTTATTTGCAGAATATTGGCCAAGAACATTTTGTTAGTTAAAGTGCATCCTGAATGGTAATCTGCTCCCCTTAGGACACTTTTTGAAAAATGTTGCCACACCACTCAGGTGCCAAATCCTGCGTTTATCTACCCTCACATACTTTCATAGTGCACTCTGAAGCAAGTTGTTTAGGGCCTAAATTTATTTTATTCATCACGTGCACCTGATGAAACTTCCATCTCTTTTGCATAGTCAGTGAAGAGGCTTCTTTTTCTTTGGTTCCTTGAGGGTTTGACAGTTCTCATTAAGATAGGATAACTGTGATTTTAAAAAAAAGTTATAGAGAAGTGCTATTGTGCCATAGCTTTGTGGTAAATTTCCATTTTGAAAATGTTTATTCAGGTCAGTTAAGGATAATAGCTTCGTTAACTTGATTCAGTTTTATTTCAGAACAGTTTTTTAGCCGTAGTGCTTGATTTCATGTTAGTTACTTCCTGATAAAAAATCTAATGCCTGTGGCCTCAGTCCTAAGGTTGAGCAACAATTTGGAATGACGACTGATGTTTCCTTCTTCACTTCATTTTATTACACAACCATGAAATCTATTGGAGAAAAAGAGGGTCAGGGTTGTATATAGAGTGAGGCGGTAGTCTGGCAAGATGTCAGCTATTTCAGGCATAACTTCCCTTCAGGGATGGAACTGATGCAGTTTCTCTCATTTTATTTAAACTTAGGTGGCCTTGGCAAAGTTTTATGTGTCAGGCTATAGTTAATAACTGATAGCAAAGAGATAGCTGCCAGGTTGAAACGAATTGTGCACACATGTTTTTTCATTTCATTCAGACTTTTAAGAAGATATTCTGTTAGGATTCTGTTGCAACATGCAACAGTTCTTCAGTAAACATGTGTTGGCCACTTGACATAGCATATCTCTATTTTGTGGTATTAACAGCATTTCTTAGAACAACACATGTTAAATTCCAGGATTTGTACTTTGCATTCCAGAAACAATATATAGTCTTCTCGTTTTTTATTCACCTAGACAAATGTGATGTGGAAATGCTAGGAGTAATCAGCCCTAATATATACATCAAGAATAATTTGAACGTCTTTGGCCTGTTGGTAATGGTAGATTTATGATCTGTCTAACATTTCAGTCTTACAGTCTTCTGATCTCTGTGGGGTAGCACTTATGTAAATTAAAACTGAATGCATAAGTGCTGGAGTAAGGTTACAGTTCATTTTTCAGACATCCTTTTTTAAAAAAAAACATATTACATGTAAGATAAGAGGGTGATTTCCCCTCCTCCCCAACTGCCAATCTCAGTTTATTATTTGAGCAATTTAAATGAATATGTTTTAATGTTTGGGAAAGCAAGAATTATGTTTACAGTTCTGTAAAGTGGGCCCTTTTAAGGAGAAAGGCAGGATAAAATATTTTAAATAAATAGTAATAATAAATAAATATGGAACAAAGTTACTTTTAAGAACTCTGTCTTTTAGAATCCCAAATCCAGTATGCCCAAATCAAAATGTACGTAACTGTTCTCCATCTCTGTTGTGAAGTAGAGACAGAAGAATCATGAGTTCTGTCTTTGGTTACTGCTACAAAACCAGGACTTCACAGGATCAGTAGAAGTAGCGACAGATTCAAATTTCTGAGATTGTCTGGGTAAATAATGCAGACAGCTGGGGAGAAGAGTTCTTATCTCATTTCTTAGCTGTCATGTGTGTCTGCTTCTAATGGGTGGAATGCGTAGGATACATACTTCCATTCTTGCTTCTAACTTTATGAATTATAAATATTGTAAAGTGTCTTATTGTATTACACACTGAAACAGAGAGAGTTTGGTCAGTTTGGGTATTGGGTTGTATGACTTTACTAAATATCAAAATGAAATTCCTCTCAAAAATGATTTTAAATTAATCTGTGGCTTTAAATTGTTACTGAAATAATGTGAAACTACACATTTGACTGTTACCAGTTTTGTATCTCTCAAAATTGGCCCTGGATTGCTTCCATACAGTTGTGTGTGCACACGTAACAACACAGGAAAACTGACATTGGAAAACAGTAAAACAAGTTCAGAGGATTAGTCACAAAAACATTAGATTCAATGGATTAAATATACCATACCAAAATTTCAAAATGCCATCATCTGTACATTCATTCTACCCTAGGACATCTTTCCTCAGAATTCTGGGAGACTGCAGAGCAGACAGTAAGTCTTTGCCTTGATTAGCATGTATGATGTATATAAATCACGTGCTACAAAAGCATCTTATCTTTGAGAGTGACAAGTTTTTATTTCTGTTTTGGTAAATCTTTCATCAATGCAGTTTCCTATACAGTGGTGCCTCGCTTTATGATTGCCCTGTTTAACGATGAAACCGCATTACGATGAACTTTTTGCGATCGCAAAAGCGATGGCAAAACAATCTTTCCTATGGGGGAATTTTGCTTTGCGATGATCGGTTCCCTGCTTCGGGAACCGATTTTTCGCAAAACGACGATTTTCCAACATCTGATCGGCCGTTTCAAAATGGCCGCCGGGTAAACAAAATGCCCCCCCCGCTGTTTTCTGGGACGGATTCCTCACTGCACAGGCAGCAAAAATGGCTGCCCTATGGAGGATCTTCACTGGATGGTGAGTTTACAGCCCTTTGGAAGGCATTGGACAGGTTTTAATGCATTTCAATGGGTTTTTTCTTTTTGCATTACGATGTTTTCGTTCTACAGCGATTTCGCTGGAACGAATTAACATCGTAATGCGAGGCACCACTGTATTTATGCTTTCCATTTCTGGAAAAAGATTTGGTCTCAGCTCTTCTAAGCCCTGACAGTTTATTTAATTGCAGTTACCCAGCAAAGTGCAAGTAAGTTATTAGGTAGTAAATGTGCATTGTTTCTCTGGAAAACAGATAACAAAGGTCATATTGATAATAGGGTTATTAGTACGATTAATTCATTCTGCTTCTACTCCCACCACATGCATATATGTTTACAGTCCACCACATTTTTTCTAGCAATTCATTGTTAGATTTCCACGTACATAACTGTGTTTTACTGGTGTCATGTCCTATATGTTTTATCAAGTTTATGATACTCTCCTTTATTTTTAATGAGGTTGTTCTCATTGTAGCTTTTGGCCATATGTACAGTGGGGTCTTGACTTAAGAACGGCTTGAGTTAAGAACATTTTGACTTAAGAACCGCTCTCATAGGAAAATATTGACTTGACTTAAGTACTTAGATTTGAGTTAAGAACTGAAAAAACCCCACGTGGGAGGCAGGGAAAGTGCAAAATTTGAACTTTCAGTTAACTGTTGGCCAGTGAAAAGGGTGCCTGTCTGCTTCCTCACTCCTCCCAGCGTTTAGAGAGTGGATTGGGAGACAGTCTTCGGACTGCCTGATACTGTACTGCCTGGACTGTCTTTTCTCTGCCTTCCCTGAACCTTTCATGACCTAAGAAAAAAAAGAAACAAAATATCTCCCTCTAGTGGTTGAAGGTGGAATAGCAGCTTCCCATTAGTTTCTATGGACAGAAAAGAGCAGATATGGATCAAATGATTTTCAATGCATTCCTATGGGAAATGCAGATTTGACTTGAGAACTTTTTGACTTGAGAACCGCCTTCCAATACGGATTAAGTTCTCAAGTCAAGACCCCACTGTATGCCCATTGTTCTTCATTAATATTCTGATCTGTCTTTTCCTAATATCTGTCTCAGGCTTAAAGTATCACCAAATTTACTGTCTGCAAAAATGTTCAGCATTTTGAAAGACATTCCTTTTGATGATCCACAAATTTATTTATCAAAATCTCAGAAGACATTAGTAGTCTAACTGATTGGTTCTGTTTTTCTGTTTATTTATAAAATTAATAATTTGATATAGTGCCATTCAGCTGTATTTTGTTTGCCTCAGTTGGTTTTTTAATTGTATATTTGTTTTGGGGTTCAACATTATAAATAAATATTTCAGACTATATAACCTGTTATTTTCCCAATCCCTACATTGTTTGAATTTATAACTGTCAAAAAAACAAAGGATGGCAAAGAAAGACATGATGCTTGTGATGGTTCTAATGATAAATTCTTTGCCTATTTTTCCCCACACTAACATGTTTTGAAACAGAGATTTTTTCATCAATAAGAAAAACTAAAACAAGCAATCATAATCCAAGATGGAAAAACCAGGAGAAGAATTGAAGTAATGTCAGGAGGGAAAACCTGCCTGAAGAGCCAGGTCTTCAGTTTATTCTTAAAAACTCCTAGCAAGGGAGCCAGGCGGATCTCCGGGGGGAGGATGTTCCAGAGGCAAGGGGCCACTGCTGAGAAGATGCGGTTTCTAGTTTTTTCCTTCCGGACCTCTCTCGGAGCTAAGCCCTTCAGCCACCCAGCCTGGCTAGAACAAGTGACATGGGTAGAACTAGGTGGAAGAAAGCTCCCTGGCATGTATCAAGGTCCTAAACTGTTTAGGGCTTTATATGTAATCATTAGCTCCTTGAAATAGATGTGGAATTTAATGGGTAACCAGTGTAAGGCAGCCATAGTGGGGGAAATATATTTCTTCACTCCAGTTAGTAATCTGGCCGCTGTGTTCCGGACGATTTGAAGTTTCTGTATCAATCAACGGAAGCCCCACATAGAGTGCATTACAGTAATCTCAAGACTACGAGTGCATGGACAAGTGTGGTGAGCACCCCAACATCAAGATAGGAGCACAGCTGGGCAATCTACCGAAGGTATAAATGGGTGGTGTGGACCAGACGTTACCTGGGATTTCATGGGAAGTGCTGGGTCAAGATGGACCCTCACGCTGCGGACTACACTCTTTGTGGTGAGAGTCAATCCCTCAAAAGAGAGGGAGCTTCCCAATGCACTGATGACAGGGGCACCCACCCCCAGGACCTCTGTCTTTTCCGGGTTCAGACTCAGTCCATTCTCCTGCATCCTTTGCAGAACAGCCCCCAGGCAACACTCAAGGGACATAATGGCATGCACTGCTGATGGAAAAAAAGGAGATGTAGAGCTGAGTGTCTTCAGCATACTGAGGACACAAGGCACCACACCCCCGGATAACGCCCCCCAGCAGTCTCGTGTAGATATTAAACAGCATTGGAGAGATGATCGAACACTGTGGCACCCCACAATTGAGGAACCACGGGGCCCGATACATTCTCCCCAAGCTGGTCTCTCTGAGAATGGAGATAGGCAAGAGCCAGGAAATAAAACTGGAGATAGCAAGAGCCAGACCACCGATCTCCAACTTGGAGAGCCTCCCCAGGAGGATACCGTGGTCTGTGGTATCAAAGGCATCTGAGATGTGGAGAACCAACAAGTACATTTTGCCCCTGTTGGCCTCCCTCAATAGGTCATCCAGCAGGGCGACCAATGCCATTTCTGTACTGTGGCGTGGCCTGAAGCCCAACTGGAATTGATCCAGGGCATTGGTTTCATCCAAAAGGGCCTGAAGATGATTGGGCACCACCCTCTCTACTACCTTGCTAAGGAAAGAAACATTGGCAACTCTGGTTTCTCTTCAGATCGTATAAATCTTTCGCCTTTTACTAAAGAAACATTGGCAAGGGGCCCTATGATTGCCAGTGTTGTCTGCCACCAAGCTCAGTTTCTTCCTAATGGGCCTAATGAGCATCTCCTTGAGGGCAAGGGGAACCTTCCCCCCCGGAGAGACCCATTAATTACTGTCATGGCCCATTCAGTTGTCACATACCTGGCTGCTTTGATTAGCCAGGCCAGGCAAGGGTCAAGGGAGGAGGTGGTGACACGACAGCGATCAGGCACTTTGTCCACCTCTACTGACATCACTGGCTGAAACTGACTAATCCTCATCAGACAAGACAGTGCGCTGGATGTCTTGGCTCAATCTACTATTTTCAAATAAGGGGTTAGGTCCCAGTGGATGGCCTCCACTTTAGATTTAAAGAACGCTGCAAATTGGTCGGGTGAGATGGTAAGGGAAGGCCAATCATTATGACCAATTCTGGATAGATCGCATACTATACGTAAGAGTTATGCCTTCTGATTGGAAACTTTGCCTATCCGGATAGCAAAGTAAGCTTTCCTGGCAGCCTTCAAGGTAAAGGTTAGATGCGATTCTGGCAGCTTTTAGATTAATTTCCATTGGGTTCCACCGCCAAATGCTCTCCAGCCTTCTCCTGTTCCGCTTTATAGCTCGCAGCTATTGGTCAAACCAAGGCTGAGCTCTGCGCTGGGGTGGGTGTTTAGGAGCAATCATGTCCACAGCCTTGGTGCCAGCAGCGAACCAGCTGTCAACCAGAGCCTCGATAGGAGCACCAGCCAGATCACTCAGAATCTCTTGCATGGAATTCTGGAATCCTATAGAATCCAGTAGCCTATAAGGGTGGACCATTAAAATAGGTCTCTGCTCCCCGCAGGGAGGGAGAGCCATTGTGAGGTTACCTTTTATTACGTGGTGGTCCAACCATGACAAGGGGACTGATGCAGGGTTAGTTACCATCCGGCTACACTCACTCTGCTCAGTGGAGAATACTAGGTCTAGCATGTGACCACCCATGTGGGTGGGGCCATTTACATGGTGGGACATGTCCAAGGAAGCCATGGTTTCCAAGAACTCAAGAGCTGGTCCAGAAACCTCCACCTCCGCATTGATGTTGAAATCACCCAAGATCAATATCCTCGGGGATCCCAACAGAGCATAGAGGTGAAGTCTGCCAGCTCCGGTAAGGAAATGGCAGGATCACGGGGAGCACGATATACCAGCAAGATCCCAATACCATCCCTGGCCCCAATCGACACATGAAGACCCACCTGCACTGCCAGCCAGCCACAGCAATCCACAGTTTTTTCAGGTCAGAGAAGCAGTCAGGCATTGCTTGCATCCTTGTATAGCCCCAAAGAGTTTGGTCTGAATGTTTTTAAAGCCTCACTGTGAATAAGCTATTACAAGAAGTAATAACAGATTGAAAACATTTAAAAATATATTCTCTTCAGTCCTTGTCCCTTTATATAAAAATAAAACACTACATTCATTTTTCTACTTTTAATTGAGTATAAAATGAAGCAAATAGTTAACTCTGAATATTGAAACAGCAGATTAATTATAATATCTCAAAGACTGGTAATTTTTAGGGTTCAGATATCTTCAGTATTTGGAGGATTAGGGATAAATTGCAGGGTCATGCCTGCTTCCCTGCCTCATGTAATTCCAGTTTCTG